AATTCTGTTTCGTTTCAAATCTTTTCTAAAGCTTGCGAAATATAAAAGATAAACGAAACGTAAAGGAATTTTGTAAGAATATTAGCTTTATGTTCCCTGAAATCTTATGGATGGACAGTTTTTGGAATCTTGAATAGAATAATGTTAACGATTACTACCATTGGAGATTCAAGAATTTGCAAGATTTGTGAACAGCAAAGCAGATTACTGTTACAGAGTTAACGAATGTTGTTGGATTGTAGTTATAAGTTACCGTTTTAACTATCGACTGCTACAATCATAATGATACCGAGATATTTGCCAAACTCCGGAATGCAGGTAGTTGCAGTGGGGATCGAACGCGCTATTACTCCTTCCGGGGACAAACTCGTTCACCACAACTCCATGCGGATCCTTCGTCTCGCTTTTCTCTCGACTAGTTTTCTATCTGTCGCTGCCATCAGCAATCACCCGTCAACGTGATTGATCTGGGGAGCACAAATGTGGAAAATTTAAGCTGTAGTAGGCAGTAAGTAGAAAGTTAACATTTTGATAGACTAATGTCTTTGCCAAGCTAGCGCGCTTCAATGACAATTTCCACGCACCGCCTGGTCTCCAACGTAACTGTCGTTAATCAACTTGCAAAGGTAACTGCTACTATTATTGTACTTGTTGACGGTGGTTTATTTCTCTCTTGTTGTGAGTTCGTACGGTCGTATTTCATTTGATTGTAAGCCTCTTTTAAGGTATCGTTCGTGTACCTACCGTTCTCCACAAGGATTATATCGAGTGAAATCAGCGTCTTTTGACGAAAGACATTAGTTATACTTCTTCCTCTTTTTATTACTTCTATAAAGGCGCGTGTGACACAGTGCTCGAAGGGGCCCTGCAATACACGTGTGGTCGATCCTCATTCTCTTGACTAACCAAGACTTCCATCCCTCCTGGGTCGGGAAATTGGTACCAGACTTGTTTGGGAGGATAGCAGCACTGGCTCAATACATCGGCAAGCCACCGTGAGTCATTGTGAAGGCCAGATATGCATCCAGTCAGCTCTAACGATTCTAGGACTTTCGAATGCATGGCGCATCTTTTAGGGATTGATTAACGCCGAGAGCTTCTTTCATACTTTATTATTATTTCTATATCGATTAGTAAAGTATACTGAGCATGCTTCACGTATGTAGTTTTTCAGGAACTTGTTTTTGGTACGCATCACATGGAAGCTACGTGCCGTAGCAGAGTCGTTCCGATATACGTAGTGAGTTTTGATGCCAGTAGTTCTAAATTTCCACTAAAGCAAGTAAAATATTCGTTCTTTCATGATAAACTTGAAGTATCTCGTATCTATACGTTTCGGTCATTGGACCATTCTAAATAGTAGCGAAAACGTTTAAAGTATGGTGGGTAACTCTGAAGATCTGGAATTTTCTCTGCTTTTCAAATACAGCGCTATGTTCGCTAGAAGACCGCACTATTCTTTTGCCCCAAGATTTGCTTCAGTAATCATATCGAGCTCTCCCTTGCGGCTCAGAATAAGACAATTTTAACTGAAGCTATACGTTGCTTGATTTGGTGCTACTCTTGCAAAGTCTGTATGACAAAGTCTGTAGTTACGGATGTTTGAGTGTAGTTTATGAACACGGATATCATCATTTCAATATATATTGCAACATCCTTTACCTTGAAGGTAGTTTGTTGATGGTTCTAAACCTTAGATAATCTCCCAAAAAAGTTTTTCGTCAATATGTCTAATTTAATGAGCTCATGATTTTAGAAGGACCAGTACAGTGTGAAATCCCGAAGTTTTATTTCAATTAGTTTTTGAATTCACGTGACTCTTACTCTGATAGTCTGACCACCATCTCTAATAGCCTTAATCGTCTACGCGCCGACGTCACTCTATGACGAAGAAGAAGCCCACGCGTTCTATATGCACTTGGAGAAGCAAGACCATGCTACTGTGCATGAAGAGAGACCTCCAGAATATCGGCAGCTATCGCCCAATCTGCTTGCCATCTGTCGTCTACAAAATTTTCACTCATGTCGTCCTAAACAGAATTGACAGAACACTGAGCGAAGGACAGCCATGTGAGCAAGCAGGGTTTCGAAAAGGATTCAGTACGGTAGACCACATCTACACGAGAACAAAACTTGTTGAAGAATTGCGAGAGTATAAAGGACCGCTCTGTCTCACTTTCACCGATTTAAAGAAGGCTATTGACTCAATTGAGATAGAAGCAGTCATGGAAGCCCTGATCAGCCAGGGAGATCCTACTTAGTACATGAGAGTTCTTCGTGAGCTGTACAAAAGATGAAAAATTCGCAACCAAAATATCACCATTCTATAACGATGTTAACGTCCACTTCAAAAGATAGGTTAGGCAGGGCGAAACTATCTCGCCAAAATTATTTATCGAGAACATCGCGCGAACATTGGAATGGGACAATATGGGAGTGAAAATCGAAATGGCCGGCAATCACATCATCTTCGCTTTGTTGATGACATCGTTCTTGTAACACTAAACATTAGCCAAGTGAAACGAATGCTTGCTGACTTTGATAAAGGCTGTGGAAAAGTTAGTCTTCGACTAAATCTCACAAGAACGATGTTTGTGAGGAACGGATTGGTTACGTATCTCCCATTCACGCTCAACGGAATGAATATCTCTGAGTGCTCCCGTTACATTTATCTAGCTGGGGAAATCAACGTGATGAACTACATGGTTTCAGAGCTGAGCAGAAAGAAACGAGCGGCTTAGGGAGCTTTGAAGAGCATCGAGGATGTAGTGAGGAGAACAAAGAACATCCGACTTCATGCCCACCTTTTCGACTTAGCGGTACTTCCTGCCTTAACGCATACGTCAGAAACTTGATCGCTGCGTAAGCAGGATGAAAGGTCACCTATCGTTATTTAACGCGCATTTGAAGGGACGATGCTTGGAGTATCCCGTGTCACGCAAGTAAGGGAAAGGATCGGAAGCCCCGAGCTTTGTCAACGATCAAAAATCAAAGATGCCGTTCTATACGCCAAACTGTCGAAGATATGGTAGACCGGACACGTAATGCGAATGAATAACATCTACGCTGGTTTGCTTGTTGGAAATGTCGAGATCTTCTGTTTGATTAACCTTACTGAGACATTAACCTCTTGTTCTATGCCTCTATTTTACAGCAGGCAACATCTCGCCCAACATGAGACGATAAGCCATTAAAGTTATTGCTTATCAATGTGAGCAACCAACTGGCGAGCAACCTACCGCCTTTTTTTTCATGCCGTCAATCCTGTCATCAGCCAACTCTCTGGTTTGTGTAGTGATAGATTTGAGATGCATTGCTTCACAAAAATTTGATAAGGAAATCTGAGCCCAGAAGTCAGTTCGATCATGGTTGAACTTCAATAGACAAAAGACAATCACTTTGCTGTGCGCAGGATCGCCGTGGTCAGCACATCGCTCCACTGGCTCAATGCCATATAGCTACCGCATGGGACAACGCCAAATTTGATGTCGACTACAGACTTCGACAACTTATTCGCGGATAAAAAACAGTATATAGTACACACTACTGGTTTTTCGACAATAGGTCGTAGTTTTTCGATAGGAGAGCCCTCGCTTTATCAATCAAAGAATATATATTACGACTACCTAGGTTTAGCTATGGTTCCACTACTTAGCTACATTGTAGTAAACATTCAAAAACCTCTTGCAGCTTATCTCGACTCTGTTTCGATGTTTTACATAGGACAGGAATTGTAACAGAATATACTGGCTCCGTGTAATGGCCAATTCCTCGTGGCAGAGTTGACCTGAACCAGTATGCTTTCAAGAAGCACAAGTACGGTTTCAAGTTGTTCATGCTATGCTCAAGAGGTAGTTCCTATTACATAATTTAGGTATGTATCGGTAGCATTCCCTCCACAACTATACATTTGGAACAATCTTGTTGATAAGGCTTATGTATAATTTGCTGGATAAACGAACGCCAATAACTAGTATTGAACTCTTTCTTTGATTGGAAACATAGAGCGGAGAAAGACCCATATTGTTGGAATCTTGCTGCAGAGAGCGGTTCATTTTGAAGGAGTTCATCAAGATCGTGAGTTACTGGATGCTACAACTCGGAATCTCTTCATGAACAGCACGGAAAGGTAGTAAGGGCGTGCTGAAAACCTCTGAAAACTTCAAGAACGACGTCTGTTTGCGTCGCATTCGAAGCTAGAGTGTCTCCATACCGTTGATCTCTCATTTCCTTGATGAAATGAATAATAATTTGCTGATAATATGGAGGGAGTGTTTGGTATATTGCAATGCAATGTCGAACAGATTACGATTGTTGCGAACAGTACGAATCAAAGCTTGGTAATCACCACAAGGTGTACGACTTAACCCCATAACTCCATTGCTCTAAACTCGTAATAGGTGATCCCTATGATTGGACAATCTATACGTCTTATCTCGGTGTTCTTTGACATTCGATCTTGTTATTTTTTCCACAATGAAGGAATCGTTTTTCTATTCTGCGGCATTTAGAAAATATCGATCGACAACATAACAAAGAATTGCGTGAACTGTTTCATCAACACAAATGGAAGAAGTCAAGTTCGCTAGCGTAGTGCGCAGTTTGACAGCTTTTGCGTGGTAATGCCGCCTTTACGGGTCCTTTTCCACGTGTAGCTGCTAAGGACACAGTGGAATAATTGTGTTCGTTGGATACACTATAGAACGAGTACCATACAAGTTATTCGTTGATGAGTGCTGCCCAGAACCTAGTCTGTGCGGACATTGTTAAAAATGATTACTGTAACTGTTTAAACAAAGTACAATTTGCTAAAACTTGTATTTTATTTGCTGCATTTGCGTACAAAAATTAGGCAGCCTTTTCTCAGTGGTAGTGTTTCCAGACACGTTTTGTGATTTTTTGATCACATTATTAACCACAATTTCAAATATTTTCGGAAGTTTCTACAGTAGGCACTATTTCTTTGAGATCTTTTACAGGAAGAGGTTGATTGCACACCAATGGAGCATCCTCTAGAATTCACGTATGTTTACTCCTTTTTCCTTCGGCCACCTGGGAAATTCGACCCCGTCGAATACGCGCAGTACGTTCAGCAGATTGCAGCAGTTCGTTCGGTAGAGCAGTTTTGGAGCGTCTACCGACATATAAAACGACCTTGTGGTGAGGAAATATGTTTCTCTACATCTGATTCGAAAGTTGTTATTGAAAATTGTTATCTAATGAACTCAAAAAGTAACCATTATATTTGGCTTGAGTTTACTGACTCGACGAGCGTACATCATTCACGCTAATGATGTTCTTCGAAGAGATAGAAGGATTCGAAGGTTTTAAATTTGTTATAGAGGTAGGTAAAATATGCCATACTTCTGAACTAAGTAATTGATGTTAGCTTCTTTTATTTTCTGCCTCCTATAATTTTTAACGGCAGGGTGTTATGTGAAATACAGCCGCAGTGATGCTGAGATATTCGCAAAACTTGGATCCCGGGTCAGATCGAACCACGATTCTCTTTTCCAGGAGCTCGCGTATTACACACTGCACCACGGAAGTCCTTGTTTTGCGTATATCTCAGCTAATTTTCTGCCTAACGTTGCCATCAGCGATCACCGGTCAGTGGCATTAATCTGGAGAGCAAAAAGCGGCATTGAACCCAGTTAAGCTGGAGGTGTAGTCGAAATCGCAATGTTAACTTTTTTACTGCCTACTATAATTTCTTAAGTTAAGTAATTAATGATTTTTTGAGTACTGGGCAGAACCTCGAAAATTTTTCAAAATAATTCTTTTTTCTTCACCTGGTATAACACTGCCAATTTCGCTGAACATGCTTGGTGAAAGCTGTGTAATTAGTGAGTTATGGTAATTTTGTTAGAGATGAAATATTGTCGTCGTACTTTTTTTTGTACTCAGTATTCCTCTTCCAGTTGCGTTTTTGTTTTCCAGATATTGGAGAGAAAGTGGATGTGCACTTTTTTAAGAAAGGCATTAGTCCAGTTTGGGAAGATGAGGCAAATCTTAGAGGTGGAAAATGGATTATCCGTTTGAAGAAGGTTATTGTTTTTATATTCTGAATATATATTTCCCATCTGTTTATCTGTGGTAAGTTGGTGGCTTTTAAGGGTTTATCAGCTCGTATTTGGGAAAATCTCTTATTAGCAATGGCTGGCGAGCAATTCTTAGTAGGTGACGAGATTTGTGGTGCAGTGTGTTCCGTACGCAACCAAGAAGATATAATATCATTGTGGAATAGGTATGTCATTTAGATTTCAGTTGTTTCACGTCTTTAAGTACATAAGTATTTTTCGTTAACGTACTCAAAGTCTTTGATGTGATAAACCGAATTAAGAACTGCCGACAATATTGGAGTTACTAATCGAATTCGTGACACTCTTCGACGCGTTCTGAACTTACCCATTAACGCAATTTTGGAGTATAAGCGTCACGATGATTGTTTAAAGTATGTTTTTTGCAAAAAATCTGCCGTTTCAGAAATTCGTCCTGTTTGACTTTTTTAAGTGGATATTTGAAATAGGTGAGCTGAAAGTGCCGTACATTAACGTAACTCTCAGTTATATTTATTGTCGACATCTGCTAAGGTAATGGTACTATTTCGTGTATTCTACTTTTTCTAACTCGCTCTTAGCGGTATCCTTATTTTCACTTAAAGGAAGTCTTTATAACTCGCAGTACTATAGGATGTACTGACTCGGAAATTCGTAATAAATTTTTTTTTGAAAATATTCGTACGTCATTGAAATGGAGTTATGTACGATGTTTTGGCGTCAATTATTTCGTTATTTCAAGTATTTCAGAGACCAGAGCAGTTATAGACATGCTAATGTTGATCCGCTATCACGGAGGCTTTGACGGTTTATGCTAGCATTTGAGCCACTTGTTTTTTTTCCCAAGATTCTCTCCTTTGAATGGAGCTGTCACTAGAAAGTCCAGACCAACCTTTGTTACTTACAACTATTGTTCGATTTTATACGTTTGCTCTGAGGTAACATGTATTAGGCGTCGTCTTAAGGGCATGGGTGTCAGATATTCTGTTGTTCGATTAATTTTGTGTTCCCGCACCTTTTGATAGATTACGTATGAATAAGTCTTCAAAGGCTATTCATTGTCGATGAAATAGATTGACAGAAGTGTATTCTTGCATTCCATATCATTAGCAGTTGATTTATGTTCTACACATAAGGTCTGTGTTTATTTGTGGTTTTAACTAAACAATTACCTGCCATCTTTCTTGGAACTTTTTTTTCTTACAAATGCACTTGTGTAAAATGTGATAACAAGTAATTAATTAATCATGGGAGATTACGTACTGGGTCCATAAATATTGCATCGTTTTTGTTGATACCAAAAACTTAGGCGAATAGATTTCTTAAACTAAGTACTCAGAAATTTGCGGAGGCTTCTTTAAACTAACTTGATGAAATGAGCTGTTCAGTTGCGTTTTCGAAACAAATTTAGGGAATATTCTGCCCCTTAAAGTACTCAGAGTGCTTCGCATTTTTTTCTTTTTCCTTTTTCTTACAGGTGCGTCAGGTAACGCTGTTCGAGGTGTTCAGAGTTTTCTGCCCAGACTGTACAAATCATTGTTCAAACTGTACAATCCAGATGGCACATACAGAATGGTTTCATTGTAGGTGAAGAAATGCGAAATCGATGTACAATCAAGATAGGAATTACACGATACTAACCCTAGGGGTGTGTGTTGCGCAGTAGTAGAAGGTGCCCTCAAATGTACGTAGGATCGGTACCCGCGCTCTGGGCGCACCATGCTCTCCATACCTCCGGTGCTGGCGAGTTGGAACCAGGCCTGTCTGGGATGGCAGCACTGATCCGACACGATCATTGTGTAGGCCAGATATGCATTCAGTCACCTCCAACGATGTTTGGTGAAGTCGAGTGCATGGCGCATCTTTCAGGGATTGATCAATTCCCACAGATTTAACCTTTTAACCCTAGAGAATGTTCTCTGTAGTGTGGGAAATAGTACAGTGTTTAATCCTGTCATGAGATTCTTTTTTCCACTACTAAAGCGAGTTGCGTTTCACTGTAAATGTTCCCTATAAAGAAGGAGAGAAAGAAGTAATACGGCACACTTTTGACTGCTTAAGGTTAATTACAGGGTCGTTTTTTTGTTACTCTTCTTCCCATTTTCATTTTTCTCCATGCAGAATTTCAGTGTAAACAAATGATAATTGATGTTAGGAGTTTTTTCAGACGGTCTGGAAGATGATTTGTGGGCCTTTCGATATCGATTTGGTTGCTATAAGCGGGTTTTCGGAATGTTATACGAAAAAGGCCTACGGTTTAAAACAACAGCATAAGTGCAGTAGTGGAACAAGTCAGTAAAAGTGACAAAACAAGTACAAATTCAGCTTGTATGACGTTATTGCGGAAGACGAATCATATTTAAAATGGCCAAGGAACGAGTTTTATATACGCTGGAATGTATCCACTATCGCGTTACTGTTATTCGACTTGGTGATATTATTTAGTTATTCTTCCAAAGTCGCAAAGTGGCTTACTTGAATATTATTATTATTATTGTCATTATTATTAATATTATTTTTGCACAGCCCATCATTTACATCTACTATGCGGATCTCAGCACTTCTCCCATTTGATTCGTTTCCTCACATCGATCATCCACGAAGGTCTTTCAACTTCTCGTGTGTAAGTCCGGCTGCTGCTTGAGGATTTCAATTTCGTCATGAATATCGTTGAATGCTGGTCGAGTTGATTCCCACTGATATCCTCAAGTAACCGAGCTAGAGTGTATCCATTCGGATTGCACGGAATGGACCACTTTCCTAGAAGTCCGGTATAAATGTTATCGCAGTTAACTAACGAATATTGTGTCTCAGTAGTACAGTGGGTAACATGCGGATCCACGGAAAGAGTAATCTGGGGTTCGAATCTGGCCTAAGGTCTAGGTTTTGCAAATATCTCAGCATCATAGTGATTAATGAATATATAGTAATAGTATAATAATATACTAGTCAATGCTGTTTTAGGGCGCCAGTGAATAAAAATTTCTGTGGTTTGTAAGCTATATTAGGAAACATTCGGTCGTAAATCTCTCAGTACGGCTGTTGCCTAAAGGCAATGATCTAGAAGTGGATGGATTTTTGATGGATTTGTTATGTGTTAGTGTCTCAGTGACCATCAAATCCAGGCGGTTATCATAGTGGTATGAGAAGAAGAAGACGAAGAAGAAGAAGAAAAAGAAGCGGAAGTCTGTGTAGCATGACCGGTTACGTACCATGTTTACCTTTTCATAGCAGCCCATGTAAAATTAATGAGTTATACAGCTGTAGTACTACAATAAATTGTATGTCAGTGAATACGGTAGTCGGTTTGATCACTCGATAGCGCGGGCTACCAGAAAGGGCCCACCCCAACCTATCACAGTTCATATCACTCATGTACTTGAATGTTCTGTAACTTTCGTCAGTAATTTTCATTACCTTCAGTAGTCTCTGTCACTGCTGTATTCATCTATTTAGGCATCATATCATCTTCCGTATCTTAAAATAGTATCACCTGTATCACCTTATTCTCTGGTTTCTAGTAACTGTTTTTATCCAAACTGCTCTAAGGTGGGGGGAGGGGGGGGGGGGGTCTTTTCAATTGGTACGTGCGACGAGTATCAACCTTATCGTTGTTCAGTGTCCTTGAGGAGAAAACCGTATGACCATCTGATCGGGTCTGTTGACCTGTTGTCTATCGGCCATTGTTTAGCGATTTTCTTGCTTCGGACGTACTGTTTTTGTTTTGTTTCTTGTTATTTTCACTTGCGGAACCTGGTGTATACCTGGTTTCTGATCATCGACGTTGGCTCTATTTCTCTATCTCGCATGTAATAAGATTTTTCTGCTCTCATTGTCTCTTTACTGCATTAAGTGACACCGAGTGGTTTTTTTTTATTGTTTTTACGTAGCTGCAAAGTTTTCAAAGCGTACTCTGAGACCGGAAGAAACTTAGGATCGGAAAACTTGGCATGGATGTTCCGTGCTTTTGTCTCCTTTTCGCTAGTTATCATCAATACTGCTATAGGTCGCTCTATGGTCGAGCCACTCGCCTTTGTTTTCGACTAATCACCTCTGGAATTGAAGATGTCCTTCGGGTTGACTTCTTGACATAGATTCACATATTCATTTATATGATTTTATAAACTGATCTTGTTGAGCTGATTCGGTGTTGGTATAAGTTTTCGTTGTCGTTGTCGTTGTTGTTGTTTTTGTTGTTGTTGTTGTCGTCGTCGTCGTCATTGTTGTTGGTGTTGTTGGTCGATGGTTGACGTTTCGGCGATTTCGTCTTCCTCAGAGCTGTTTTGTTACGAGTGGTACTCGTGTCTCTTCTAGTGAGCGCCACTGGTAACAGCATGGCTCTAAGGTGGGAGAAATTGCCAGGACATCAGCAATTGGCCATCAGCACTAACAACAACAACAACGACAAAGATGACGAGAACAACAACAACAACAGCAACAACAACGACGACGACGACGACGAAAACTTATACCAACCTCGCATCAAGTCAACGGGATCAGTTCGTAAGATCATGCAAATAGATGTATCAACTATTTATGTCGAGGTTCATAGAATATGTCTTTTGAATTATTAGTAGGTTCACATAACCGAAACCTTCAGCGATATTGGATTCCGTTGAATGTGGACGAAGTTTCAGAGACGAGCTCATTTCTTATAGACATCGTTTTTTGTGGTTTCATTTGACATCTGACTGAACATTCCATACACTATCGAAAAGTAGTTCAGTATTACCAATTCTAAAGGGCCACGTGTAGTTCACTGCTCCGAGGCGTCCTGCAAAACGCGTGGGATCGATCCCCGCGCCCATTGCCTACCAAGCCTTCATCCTTCCGGAGTCAGCAAATTGGTACCAGACTTGTCTGGGAGGATAGCAGCACTGGCTCGACACATCGGTAGGTCACCACGAGGCATTGTAAAGGCCATATATGCATTTAATTACTTCCATCAATGCTTAATGGAGTCGAATGCATGGCGCGTCTTTCAGGTGATTTGTCAACGCCGAGAGCTAATTCTTTTTTTTTATGGCCAGTTCTTAATGTTCTATGATGTATCCTATGCGTGTCGGCGTTCATTCTTAGGTGTATTTCATTTTAATTTCCTCAAGTGCTTCCTAAAAGGAACTCTGAGTAATATGGTGTTTAGTTGGGATAACGTTGGTTGTTGTTGAAAGCTTCCATAACCGTTCCTGGCTAGTAACTGAATCGGAGGCCTTCGTGACGGCTTTAAAGAAGCTGAGACAAGCTGTTTTCTTCCACAAACAGTTTCAGCTGAAGAGCTTACAATTTCTGAAATGTTCTGTTGTTAGGTTCGCTTCAGTACATCAACTTTTCTTTTACTTTCAGTGACATATCAGCTACGCTGATCAACCATATATCGTTATAAACGACGTTTTTCGTATTCCTTCTCAAGGCACGTCACTATAATTCGTAGTCCGAATGAACTGCTGTAAAGATACTCAAAGTGAGTTTATTTTTATAATATTGTTGCTTTTCCTTCCAACAGTTTACCGCCTCATCGTGGCTAGGAGGTGTTCCTGGGTGTCAGGCTGCGATGTACAGTGGGGGAGTTCATCCCCGCAGCAGGGTCTCCCAAGCTGAGAAGGTGTCCGGCGTTTCCATCAGGAAGCCTAGGTAAGAGTAAACCAATACCAGGATCCACCACCGTCCTGGGATTAAACTAGCCTCATGGTGGCAATTCTCCCTCTAATCCACAAGGGCGGGGACTGCCTGTGGTGGTCATGACCTGGGGCAGGCATTGGCTAGGCTCACCTCAGAGCTCCAGGGAAACACAGTGGCTAAGCCAGCAGAAATCCGAAACAATGGAAATTATTCTGGGGCTCGCACAACCAGTTAGGATGGGTCATCCAGTTATGCAAGTATCCAGCTATTCTAGCTTGTAACGAATCTTTTGCTGATTGTGTCTTGTTGTATTTCCATCGTTCAGTTTCTATGTGTACTCTACTGTTTTTGCAGTTAGCAAGTTGCACTCATCTACTTCTTGGTCACGATGGCTACTCACTGTTACCATCGTTTCGTTTGTGCTTCTATTCATATTTCATCGTCCCTTACCTGAAGGTTTCACGAAGAAACCTATGGACAGATTTCTGATACATTTTTTTGAAACGTCACTCAGAGTAACATACTACTGGCCGGTAAGTCCTTATAACCTAACATTTGAATAAAGCGTTTAGTACAGTGATAAGTCCGTTTCTAGAGTCGATTATTCACGAAGGCAAGCACTATGGTATGGTGGACTCGCGCAGTTCTCAACAATCTAACACGATTTCTTGGACCATACTTACCTGACCAAGCTATATCTGCGGAGAATAGAGATTTTAGAGGGGTTCCAGTAGGTTTTGTTCTTCGAAATTCTTTTCATTAGTTCTTGGGTTTGTCTAAGTTACAAGATCAGGTACGTGTGTATGCGCCTCGTCAGAATGTGTCGAACGATGGCGCTGTTGTTTTCATACACGGAGGTGGATTTGCCCTTGGAAACATTGACATTTACGATTCTCTAACACGTAGGATATCTAAAATGTAAGCGTTATTTCTTTTATTTTTATTTTACGTCGCTGCTTTACATTAAAATCGACTGATCATTTATTGTATTCAATTAGAAGGAAATGTCCTTAGTTCCTTTTGGTGGCATCCACACTCAGCTGAACTGAACGCACCACTTGCGTGCCTACCACATCAAAGTCATCAATGGTTCCGGACTGCGCATCATATAAGCGATCAAGACGGCCGAAATGAAGCGTGCTGTTGTCGAACCAGCTTACGGTGTGCTTAATCACAAGGAAGCAACACTTGTGGTTGTGTCGTGGGATTCTTTCGACTATGGACGTTAGGAGAACATCACCGTCGAATGATGCAACACACTTGATGGAGCCACAAAACAGTTCAGATGTGAATAGTTTCATGGAGATGATATAATCCGCAGAAAGAATCTTCCCATTGAATACAACCCATGATCGGTCGACTTTATTCTTTTTTTTTACTTCCAGTTCTCTGGTTTAGATGCTGAAATATTTTTCCAGTTCGAGATTCTTGTGGTTTCGTTTTTAGGATTAGAGATTTTAATCTACTGTTGACAGTTTCGAAAACGTCATTGTTTTCGGGTATTCTTATAAACATGTCTTCTTGGAACGTAGAATGTCGTAGCTTTTACTTCAGGTTGAATGTTGTTCTTGTGTCAATCGAATATCGGCTTTCTCCAGAAACCCCATTTCCGGGTGGATTAAATGACTGTGAAATAGCTTTAGAATACTTCCTCAAAATTTCTATGGAAGAGTATGGCGTGGATCCAAGGAAGGTAGCTGCTTGTGTTTATGTGTCTTTTGTATTCTCAGTTTTGTTTGTGTCGTTGGTTCGGGTAAAAATGCAATTTGAATTCTATCGGTATGTTTCGTGAATAGCTGTAAACATGTGACTATAAAGGGCTTGCCTCAGAGAATTAAGCAAATAAGGAATTAGAGGTTTTATGGGTTTCTTGATTTTAGTTTAAGAGTAGTATTAGTTGGGAATAGTCTGTTCTATACGGTGGCTCTTACGAGAACACTGAAATTGAAACAAGATTCATGTGTTTGATAAATGCACAGTCTTATGAGGCGCGTGTAGCGCAGTGGTCGGAGGCGCCCTGCAACACACACGTCGAATCGATTTCCGCGCCCGTGGTCCACCAACCCTTCCACCTTTCCGGGGTCAGCAAATTCGTACTAAACTTGCCTGGGAGAATAGCAGCACTGGCTCGAAGTATCGATAAGCCACCGCCATTGTAAAGGCCAGGTATGCATTCAATCACCTCCGAACGACGTTTAATGAAGTCGAATCCATGTCGCATCCCTAAGGGATTGGTCAACGCCGAGAGTTTTATCTTTTTTGCTTTATCCTTTACAATCTTTTTTACCTGCAATTATCTGTCAACTTTTGGTTGAACTGCACTAGTGATTTTCATTTTAATGGATAAATTATGTTCTTTACAGATTGTGTTAATGGGTGATTCGGCCGGCGGTAACCTAGTTGCTGCAATAACACAACGACGTCGTGATACCGGCAAAAAACCTGATATTCTTGGTCAGGTTTTGATTTATCCTCTTCTTCAGCTAGCCGATTTGCAGTCGCTTTCGTATCGATACTTTCATACGAACCTTCATGGAACTTCTCTAGTCGGTATGTTTTACCTTAGTTCAACTGCTAAGTGAGACGGTAGAGCAATTTGCAGATCCGGAGTCCGTTGCGTATTATTACATGTTTTATGCTGGTATAAACATGGACAATTACTCCCACCTCGTGAAATACGTCCTTGTTAATGGCCACGTTGCTTATCAGTTGCGGGACAAAGTGGAGAGGGTACGAGAGATTCTTCAAGCATCATGAAGATTGTTTTTCTTTGAGGTTTTTTTCCTCTTTCAGATACTGGATTACGATTCACTTTCCTATCTGAACTATAGAAATGAGACGTTGATAGAGCGGAAGGAGACGGTTCATTCTGTTGAGGCACAACAACTTCTAGCGCCTTTCTTAACAAATCCAAATTTCTCTCCACTTATGCAAGAGGTGTGCCATAGGTTCCTTAAGTTCCGTTCCAATTCTATGGCTTTTGCGAAACACACCAGACATACCGTGAAGTTTTAGGACTTGTCAAATCTACCACCTGCCTTTGTAATGACATGTGAATATGACGTACTGCGTGACGAAGGAATCTTGTATGCTAACCGACTTAAGGTACGTTCTGATACCGTCTTAGTGAGGGTTCATTGCCTTACTGATTATTTATGGGGCGTATGTGGGCGCAGTGGTCGGAAGCGCCTTGTACTACACATGGGATTGATCCCTCCACCATAGGTTCACCAAGCCTTCCATCTTTCCTGAGTCGACCAATTACTACCAGACATGTCTGGGAGGGTAGCAGCCCTGGCTCAATACATCGGTAGGCCACCGGGAGTTATTTTAAAGGTCAGATATGCATTCATTAACCCCCAAACGATGCTTAGTGAAGTCGAATGCGTGGTGCATCCTTAAGGGTTAATCAGCGTTGATGGCTTTATCCTTTATCCTTCCTTTACTGATTATTTAGGCTGCTGGTGTAAAAACAGAGGCTAGGAATTACGAGAATGGCTTTCATGCAATGCTTAATTTTCATAACGAAATTGAGGAGGCTTCAGATTCGCTGAACGACATCGTTTTCTGGACTAAGAATATCTTCCTTTCTATGAAAAATTAGTATTATTGATTTTTTTCGATTTTATTCTACATTTACTTTTCGTGATGATAGGTATGTCGTTTTCCTGCTTATGAGCTCTCACAGTTTTGATGCTCCGTTTTCAATCATATGTATTTGCACATAGTGTAATACCGTAGATTTTATTATGTTTAGCCGTAGTTTTAACAGATAGCTTTAAGCCTTTGTTATTGATGAAAGGAATTTTAACTTGTGAATAAATATAGAAGATGACTTTTATCAGTGATGCTCTAGATATCTGAGATATATTTCATATTTCGTCATTATTTACGTCAATCAAAGTATTATTGGAGGGCAAAGTTAAAGTACTATGTATTTTAACTGTAACTATTATCCACCGATTGTAGGTAATACTTGCTTACTTGGATACTTGGATGTCCCATCTTCACTGCTTGTGCGGGCCCTTGCATAATCTCTATTTTTTTTGAAGTTTTGGTGATCTAGCCATTATGGTTCCCTGGAGTCCCGAGATCAGCCTGGCTGGCCAAGATCTGTCCAGGTCGTCGCCGCCCTTGTGCACTAAAGGGAGATTTGCCACCATGCGACTAGTTTGATCCCAGGACGGTGGTGGATCCTGGTATTGGTTTACTCTTACCTAGGCTTCCTAATGGAAACGCCGGACTCTTTCTCAGCTTGGGAAGCCCTGCCAGGAGGATGAATCACCCTACTGTACATCGCAGCCACGATTAGGTGGTAAACATTTGGTGGATTGTAAGTAGTAAGTATTTCATAGTGTGGGAAACATGCTAACTTCCACCTTAAGTTGAGAACCGCCTATATAAGCTAGATGATGAAAAGGGTAATGTTTTCTATTATTCACTTTGGATGTTTAGTAGTGAAACCTAGACAATGATCATGGTTGTTCAAAGGTATGACACTTATGTCATGGTTTGTGGAGATGTGCAAATATTTCAGCTTCCATAAATGTCGAATGTGATTCTGGAATCGTTTGATGGCGTTGCTCATACGTTACCAACCGACACCGCTACAATGTCAACATCAGGACATCACTATTCATCTGTCCAAGGTACCTGACGTTGCACTGGGATACGTAGGTATGGTTACACAGTCATACAGGTGCATATTTCCTATGTTCAGCCTTTTTGAAAGCAGCCTGATAGAGCTCTATACATATTTACGTGTAGTATCCGATACACATAGCTTTAATGGAATGATCATTCTACTTGGGAGCGTGCGGCCCCGTGGTCATTGGCGCCTTGCCAAACACATGGGATCGATTCCTGCGCCCATGGCCCACCAAGCCATCTATTACTTTAGGATCGTCAAATTGGTACCAGATTTGTCTAGGAGGATAGCAGCACTGGCTCGATACATCGGTAAGACACTGCGAGTCATTGTAAAGGCCAGGAATGCATTCAATCACCTCTAACGATGCTTCGAATGGAGTCGAGTGCATAGCGTATCTCTGAGGGGTTAATCAACGACGAATGCTTTATCCTTTTAGCTCTTTTAGGTGTTTAACGGAAAAATACGGCTTGGGATCAGAAGCCTCAATGGCCTTTTTCAGTGACTGTAGGCACAGTACCATTGATGGATCATTTAGAAGGAAGGTCAAATCTGTTGTCACTCATTGGTAATCGCTTTCAGTGGAGTGGATGCATCGAAAAAGCAAATGTCTTTGAAAGGAACAAATACATCTTCTAGATCCAGAAGACTCTCCCAAAGCGAATATTACGGGAGCTTGGTTGTAATTGTTGTTTCAGAGTAGTGAGTCTACTACGGCAACTGTTTTGTTAAGGATTCCAAACCTATCGTCTTAAGAAGAATGTCCTCTTTATGATGTTGAATGTTGCCAACTACATGGGCCTCGGGTTCAAGTTCCATAATTTGTTCCATAAAGTACGAATTTCAGTTGTCATAAAAGCAAGAGGGTTTGATACAAATCACTCATAGCCAATTGTAACACTAGCTGGTTGTATGTAACTCATCCATGGATGACTTGTATCGCTTACAAAAACGCGGAAAAAAAGCGTCACACTTTCCGTATGAGGAGTTTACTTCCGCTTTTCTTTTCCGAAAAGATATCGAAATGTGGCTCATTGGGCTTTCCATGAAGCCCTGAACATTTCGATGAGGTGCAACACTTTCCTGTCACTTGATTGCAAGATTTTTGAGCATTCTCCGAGCAGATTACACTGCACATAAACTAATGTGAACGTATGTTTACGTGTTCGAATAGATATACGTACATATGGGTTAGACTGCGCGTGTAGTGCAGTGGTCGGAGGTGCTTTGCAATAAACATAAGATCGATCCCCGCACCCAAGGTTCATCAGGCCTTCCATCTCTCCGGGGTCGGCAAATTGATAACCGACTTGTCTGGGAGGAGAGCAGCAATGGCTCGATACATCGGTAGGCCACCGTGAGTTATTGTAAAGGTCAGATAAGCATTGATTCACCTCCAGCGTTGCTTTATGAAGTCGAATGCATGGCGCATCCCTCAGAGATAGATCAACGCTGAGAGTTTTGTTCTTTTCATTTTTATTTAAGCTAGCCAAGTATTGACCACTTAAAACATTTAAGACAGTAATTCTCCGACCATAGTTATTCGTTACTCTTGGAACAAGTCACAACCGTAATTTCTGGTGTGAAAATTTGTTTTCTCTCCAGAATCATGTCAGGCTAGTAGCAAGTACTAGTATGGCGTGCTTGTAATCTTGGTTTCGTATTAGAGATGTCGGCATCCTTAACAGCATCAGTGATCATGTTTCTGAAGACCGGAACTTCTCACGTATGTCGTTGTTCTATCCAAGCAGGGCTGCCATTAATGCAAAATATAGCTAGGTCATAACGACACGGTGGAAAAGCTCTGTATGTTTTTTCACCTATTGCCGGTACCTCTCTCTTTCGTTTTTCACAGCATGTAACGAAGCTGTTTTGCTATAAGTGAACCTGGAATACGAACGGCTGGATTATATATTGTCCAGAAGTTGATTTGCGTTTTTACGCGAAATCCAATTTAAAGTAGGGAAATCTATAGAGTTGTTAAAATGGCGAATGAGCACTGTTCACCAGACTGTAGGTCATCCTATTCACACGGTGAATATTAGCGGTGGCGACATGAGAACTAGCTCAGCTGTCTGAATTCCGGAGTGAACATGCGCAAGCAAAGGTAGTATTAGCCTCAGTGGAGCGTTAAGAGAATGGAGGAAATGTTTCCTGAAAGAACGAAATCAAATTCTGGGTTATAGAGCGCGTCATTGTTGCTTTTTACACTATTTATAACCTTTTGTGAACACCTTTTGAGTTGCGCTAATCTAAATGGTTTAAGCTCTTCAGAGACGGCAATACTCAAGACTACCTGTGAACTTACGCTGACATTTGATCTAAAGTGATGACCTTATACAAAGTCGTAGGAAATAGATCGTTATCTCCAATTGTTTGCCCATCAGGAATGCCGAAGGTACTATTATAGTTGTCGTCTTCCATTCGTTGTTTGATTTTCTTTTCGTTCTTGTTCTACTTGCTCTTCAAGATTAGGTTGAGAGAGAGAGACGGAGAGAGAGTACCTGTTTCAACACTTTCCTATTTTGTAGTGTTGATTTGGCCTAACCCTTCCAGCGGTTTACACTGCCTCTTCATGGCTGGGAGTTGTTCCTGGGTGTCAGATTGCGATGTACAGCGGGCGATTCATTCCTCAGCGGACTCTCCCAAGTTGAGGAGTCTGGCTTTTCTTTCAGGAAGCCTAGCTAAGAGTACACCTATACTAGGATCCGCCCCCGTCTTGGTATCATAGTTGCATGGTGGCAAATCTCCCTCTGTTCCACAAGGGCTGCGACTGCCCGTGGTGGTGAAGACCTGGGGCGGACTTTGGCTAGGCTGACCTCGGGATTCCAGGGAACCACAATGGCTTAACCAGCAAATCTCCGAAAAATAGTGATTATGCTGAGGCCCGCACAACTAGTGAGAACGGGCTGTTCAAGTATCAAGTATCAAGTATTTGGCTTAACTGATTGGACGTTTCCATGCGACAGGATGGTTTCTATCGAGTCTTAACTTGTGCAAAAATGAATTTGATTTTTCTTCCCATTTTCACTCAGCCATCGTAAACGGAGAATAAGCAGTATGTACAAGCACTAACACAAGAATGTGGAGTGAATGGACCGTTGAAATTTGGATGCTGAACATACAGCTTATTGCAGGTCTCGTAGACGTAATATATCCATTTGGTCTTGCCGAACACTGCACGGGACACTGCAAATAGGTGACGACAATGCAAGAACTAAGGTGTAAAATAGCCTTATTTCCATATGCTACGCCACAGATTGAGGACATGATGGACGGCAACGGGATGATAATCCTTTTGTGGTACTTTAGAACGACTAGATTCTCATTATTATTATATCTTTAATTAGATTGTACAGACTGTTAGCTAAGTCAAGACATTCATAGGATTTTTATGCTGAGTAGCATCCGTACTACAACTATGTACTTGGTGCTAGGTGGTTGTCTAGGTAACAATGTGGGCGTGATGTATTGGGCGCCGATTGCTACAATTCGATGAAGAAGTCGCAACCTCTGCTCACTCCAACTGGTAATCCTATCAGTGACGACTCATCTCAAGACGAAAATAGTCAAATTCGTGGATTGGAAGAGGACCAGGTACGATAGTGATAAGAGATTCTTTAACAGGGTGTCTGAAACAGTTTGTCTAGCACTCGTTATTTGTTCAATCTTCTCCTATTATCATAATGTATATTTATACATATATTTATAAATGTGCATGTGTGTATACGTATATATATATATATATATATATATATATATATATGTACGAAAAGAGAGGGACGGAGGATAAGGGATTAAGCCCTCTGGGTTGATCAGTCCGAGTGGATGCGCCATGGATTCGACTTCATTAAGCATCGTTAGAGGTGATTCAATGCATATGTGGCCTACAAAGCGACGTGCGGTAGCCTATCGATCTATCGAGTCAGTGGTTAATCTCCTATAAAAGTCTGGTACCAATCTGCCGATCCCGTTTAAGATGGAAGGCTTGGTGTGCCTGGGGCACGGGATCAATACCATGTGTACGCGCGTCTCTATGCGTGTGTATACATATATATAGATACATACATATATGTGTATATGTACATGGATATGTATATGTAAATTTGTATGTACACGTATGTATACATGTATACATATATGTATATATATGTATATGCCTCCAAGCGGTTTACCGCCTTATCGTGGATGGAAGGTATTCCTGGGTGTCGGACTGCGATTTACAGAGGGGGGATTCGTCCACTCGGCAGGGTCTTCTAAGCTGAGAAGGAGTCCGGCGTTTCTATCAGGAAGCCTAAGTAAGAATAAACCTATACCAGGATCCGCCACCGTCTTGGTATCATAGTCACATGGTGGTAAATCTCTCTCTGATCCACAAGGGTTGCGACTGCCTGTTGTGGTGACTACCTGGGGCAGACATTGACCAGGCTGTGCTTGGGTTTCCAGGGAACCACAATGGCTTAACCAACAAATCACCGAAAATGGTGATTTTGCCGGGTCCCGAGCAACTAGTGATGACGGGCCGTTCAAGTATCGACTACATATGTATATATAACTCGCTCTCAATGATGCAGTTAACAAGGAGGCAAAGTGCTACTTCGACTTCCTCCCCAACTCTCTTCTAGCGTTAAAACACTTCAACCCGACTATCTCCAAGACTGCATACTGCAGCCGAAGCAACACATGAAATGTTCGAAGACCTATGTGCACTAAGAATACGAGGTAAACGAATCCCATGGTAGAAGTGCTAGAATTTTTACAGTAGATGTGATGGCGGGACATATGAAATAAAGCAAAGGTAAAGAATTGAGCAATGACATCTTCTTATTTTCTTGCTTTACTATGAATGCAGTAACCTGGACTCTAGCACCCTAGGGAGTCATTCAGTGCTGATCAAAAAATGCTATGAATTTTTTTACTAATCGTTCGAGAATTCTTCTTTTCACTCACTGTTCACTGGTTTTTGTTATATGGAATATTAAAAAAATCTGTTCGTCTGCGGAGCTCTAACATCGGCAATAGACATAGTGAACCTAATTTTTATTATTGTAAATGAATAATACCCATACGATTGCCACTATCTCCTTCATATGGGTGATGTTGGGCTTGTTAAGTGACAAAGTAAAGTGGCACATCCCAGCATGAACGACTAAACGTTAGAACCTGTATTTCTGTTATTCGTAATTCGATATGGAGGTGGGTCGTCTATCTTATGGTAAATTCAGTTTTTATACGACTTATACATTGCTTTTAGATATATTAATATTCAATTGTCGTCGTCCTTGGATATATTCGGGTTCTACTGTACGCACGTCAGGTGCTTGCAGCGTAGTGGTTAGAGGTGCCTTACAATACACGTGGGTTCGATCCCGCGCCGCAGGCTCACCAAGCCTTCCATCTCTCTGGGGTCGGTAAACTTGTAGCAGCCCTGTTTTGGAGGTTAAAAACACTGATTCGATATATCGTTAGGGCACTCAGAATCTTTGTATAGGCGGGATATGTATTCAATTACCTATACGATGCCTGATGAAGTAGGATGAATAGCACATCTTTCAAGGATTGATCGGCGCCGAGAGCTTTATCCTTCATCTTTTCATTGTATGCATAGATTCGCCCCGAAACCTGTGTTAAAGTGAGAGGGAGTTATAGCGGAGGCGATTTAGATTGGATTTATCTCCAACGAGTGAGATTCAGCTATAATCTACGTGGATGCATGAGTACTCAGCTTTTATAGCGGACCCTAGCGACCTAGTTGTTGGTTATTTTTGACACAAATCAGTAAAATTAAACAACTCTATACAGAGAGGATGGGAGTGGTACTGTACAATAGTGTTCTAGCAAGGAGGCTGACGTGACGCTGTCCATCTCTGTCAAACGAAGAAAACACTAGGCAAAGCTGCCATCCATAGGCCACGGACAGAAATGTTAAGCCTTCTCGTTTGAGTCACATGATGATTAGCAGGTCCTGAGAACTGCAGAATAGATTAAGAAGACCTATGTTCGCACTAGCACGGTTGTCCAGTATTCCAAAGGGAACTTAACGTACGTTTAACAACATTCACGAAGAATGTGATGTCCTCAGATATCGGCCGAACCTAAACTCAAATCCGAAAACGTTCAACGGTAATGGATGCGAGGAAACGAATGGAGCCACATAAAGAAAGTGTTAGGCTCCGCACAATATTTAATATCAGGTTGTGGGAAACAAAAAGTAAAATATTTGCTTTCAAACATTACTAAAGTTTTCCTTTCTTTCCCTCCAATATTACTACTACATAGCTTCAAGGCTACATTGATTGTAACGAATTCGATTCATTTAGGGTATTTATCATCATCAAGAGATTGATGTCCCTCCGAAATCAGAATCAGATGACGACATTCCATTGCATTCAAGAGAAAAGCCTATGATTGGAACAACAGTGACAATGCTTACAACAACGGATAGACCAACCAGCACGTTAATTTTATTATGTAAAAATGTAAGAGAAATAAGGGGATCAGTGGCAGTCGTTTTATTTGTCACAGTTTATAATATTTTGCTTTAAACGAAGCGTCATTATCACTCAGTCAATCTAATTCAGCGCATTGCTGGGAAAAAAGTAATTGAGGAGTAGGAAAAAAGAACAATGAAAAGAAAACATAGAATGACTTTATTAGGCGCTCCAATTTTATCGGTATAGAATGATTGGTAAAAGTGGTATTAAGGTGCACGATCGGTACGATTCTCAGGAAATCAACCGGACTTCTCCCAAAGCGATTCTGCTGAGGTTCAGGTTTGAGAATTTCTAACGAAAAAGAGCAAATCACAATGTTTTTGAGATGTTGTTCTTAAAGCAACATTCTTGAATTTGTGCAATTTAAGCAGGTTTTAATTTATTTTATTTTATTTTAGAACGCTGAGCTACCACATGATGCTGGTTATCAAGAAGCGTTAAGTACGCATTTTAGATCCATTATAAGTGAAAATATATTAAAAATTGTCGATTTTTTAATGGTCTGATTATTAGGATTTAGATTTGCCCTCAAATATTTCATATCCTCCTTCGTCACCACCGGCTTATCAGAGTCCACCTCAAGTTCCAAAATCCGGACGTCACAAAGGTAAAACTTATGAATACCCATTGTATTTCGTCTATAGAATTTTTTTTTTGCTTGTTATCACTTCACAAATTCTGAAATCAGGGCACACATCGTCAAATCACTGTGAATCTTCTTCAATATTATGATTTTATTTAAATATATGTGTCGTTCAGCACAAAAAACATGAAGGTGTAATGGATTCGTATTTCCACTCCAATGGTTTACCGCCTTATTGTGGCTGGGAGATGTTCCTGGGTGTCGGGCTGCGATGTACAACGCGATTCTTCGTTCGGCAGGGTCTCCCAAGCTGAGAATGAGTGCAGAATTTCCATCAGGAAACCCAGCTAAAAGTAAACGAATACTAAGATCCATCACCGTCCTGCTATCAAACTAATCACATGGTGGCAAATCTCTCTGTGATCCGCAAGGTTAGCGCCTGCCTGTGGCGGTGACGATCTGGGGACTCCAGGGAAACACAATGGGCAAACCAGAGAACTCCGAAAAATGGAGAGTATGCTGCGGTCCGCACAACCAGCGAGGACGGGTCGTCCCAGTATCCAAGTAAAAAACGATAACGGTTAAAGCTGTCGGCGTTGATCAATCCCTGAGGAATGCGCCTTGCATTCGACTTCATTAAGTATCGTTGGAGGTGATTGAATGCAATCTAGACAAGACTGGCACCAATTTGCCGACCCCGGTGGAATGGAAGGCTTGGTGGGCCATGGGCGCGTTGATCGATTCCACATGTGTGTCGCATTGGCATCTCCAACCACTGCCCCACACGCGCTCCAGCATCCAAGTAGGTAATCCATTCGTATGCGAAAATTTCATAATGGCTATTGTTAAAACTGGAGTAGAAGTAAGGAAAGGTAACTTTAAATCTTGTATAATTTCTGCAGTTATGCTGATATGTTTTTTAAATTATTGTTGTTCTTCTTACTTTTTAGGTAACGGTTTCAAGAAAGGATCGTTGAATGATCTGATCATGTCAAAAGTGACGTTACCATTTCAACAAATGATGCGTCGCTCCAGTCAAGTTGAAGAGGAAAGCGAGGGCGATAGTCATGGTAAATTGAAGCGATATGAATGGGATTTTTTCTATCTGTGTGAATTAAAGAAAATTTTTGCGGGTCTGTTTGGATTTCTAATAGATAACAAAGTCATATCATTGCCGTATGAATGATAGCACCTTTTCTTAATAACGCGCATATCTAGTATTCTTAACCTATTTTCGTATTCTTAACCCACGCCTAATTTTCTATTGTGAGCGAGTGAAACGATGCCTAATTTTGTGTCGGTTACAAAACTTAGTCATTTGTTGACATTAAACGATAGTATTTTTTACGACTAGAGGACCTAAAGGCTTCGAGAATATGAAAGAGTTATGGAGAGGCTTTGTTCTACAACTGTATAGGTATGTATTGCTTCCATTTGCTTAATTCGTGTTACTATGGCCCGCCATAGAACCGCATTGTTGTCAGCTTTTGGAAGTGTACTGCGGATTATATTGAATCTATTTCTGTATTTTTTGTACCTGCCTATTTTATAAGATGACCTTGATTCATCATAACGATTGAAATTTAAATGACTGTCAATTATCAGTCAACTTATAAGTCATTGAACTCCTGCGAAAAAAAAATAGTTGTATATTACTAAATGCAGACTAGAACTTTTCCCGGCCGACGTGCACGGCAATGTCTTTGTTCACTATGCTATCAAATGATTGTGAGAGGTGTAAGAATTGTGTTCCGTGTCGATAATGCTTGAAAAGAAAGTGCACCTTATATGATGCAAGGACGCGTGTGGCGCAGTTGTTGGAGGTGCCACTGCGACACACACATGGAATCGATCCCCGCGTTCATGGCCCACCAAGCTCTCCCATCTCTTCGGGGTCGGTAAATTGGTGCCAGACTTGTCTGGGAGGATAGCATCTCTAGTTTGATACATCAGTAGACCATCCCGAGTCATTTTAAAGGCCAGATATGTATTCAATCACCTCTTGCGATGCTTAATAAAGTCGAATGCATGGCGCATCCCTCAGGGATTAATCAACGCCGAGAGCTTTACCATTTTTTATGATACATCTCGGTCAGTTTGTCCAGAAATGTGTGCATCATATGTTGGAGTTCGGTACCAATGGATTGAAATTTGATCCATGATGAACCTTCAGTTTCGTCGCTCAGTTATTTCCTTGTATTTCTTTAAAAATTCAACAGATCTTGGCTTTATAAGAAATTGGTTGTTGTGCGAGTTAAAATGTAATATTTCACCTTATTTGTAGGGAGCAAATTTTAGTGGTTGATGGAGGGGTGTAGACTTAGAGTGAATGAAACTCAATAGCATCAACTATATTTTTTTAAATTGAACCTTTGGTGAAGTTAGACAAATGTTAACTTTTCATTTTTCTCATTTTCCTTTGCCCAAGCATCTATGTGCAACGTTGTTCTAGCTTAGTGCCAGAGTTACACACCAGACAAAAATCGCATAAGACGTTTTTTGAGTTGTGATTCAAATCTTCATACTGTTTCAGAGTATTCTGACACGGTTCAAAACACAATCCATGGTTTTAATAGTGATGAACTTCAACTGTTGTCGTTTGTTGATGGTTACCAACCGGAAGAGATTCATCCTCGACCGTTACTGAGGCCGTTCGTGATGGACTACATACCAGCTATCGGCGACATCGACGCGATGATCAAAATTCCGCGTCCGGACGAAGTGTGTTACCAGAAAATGAGCTTTCTCAAACTTCTTATTTGAATTCTACGTTTAGCTTAAATTCTGCACAGTAAAATATTTTCCGAAATGTTTTATCGAATGAACCGAATCTTCGTTGTGGTCGAATATTCGGATATTCGATTCTCATAAACGGATGCAAATCCCAAACTTTTCCGATATTTGCAAGAGATTGCAGTACATTTAAATGTTATCAGTCCACTATTAGTTTATAGATGCTTCTGTTTTATGTTTTTCTTTGTCAGATAGAAAACATGGCTTTTTAGTATTTCCTAAATCCAGTCGTAGTGAGGGCACGTTATTTGATTTATACTTCTCAACTAGGGCGCATGTGGCGCAGTGGTCGGAGGCACCTTGCAACACACTCGTGGAATCGATCCCAGCGCGCATGGCCCACCAAGCCTTCCATCCCTCCGGAGTCAGCAAAATTGGTACCAGACTTGTCTGGGAGAATAGCAGCGCTGGCTCAATACATCGATAGTCCACCGCGAGTCATTGTATGGGCCAGATATGCATTCAATCACCTCCAACGATACTTAATGAAGTCGAATGCATGGCGCATTCCTCAGCAATTGATCAAAACCGAGAGAGCTTTAGCTTTATACTTCTTAAGCAGTTCAACATTTTGTTGTCGACGTTTAGGTTGATGATAACATCGGTCTTATACAACTGGATGAGCCAGCTATACAGCAAAGTGATCCGACAATACTAGCAATGCAATTACGTCATGCTAACAAAGAAGTAGTTTGTTGTTATTTGCTTTTTCCTTGATTTTATTATGATAGTAACTAAAACATAAAAAACTGTCGATTACCTGTTATCAGTGGATTCTACTTAGGTGAATTCTCAATTAGATGCACCTGTGAAGCAACTGGAACGCGGTGACAAATCTGCTCATGAAATCGACAAGTGGATAACCGATATAAAGGTACGGTATTCGTTAAAATTGGTTTCCAGCTTTTATCTGTCGAAGTGCAGAGATATTCGAATGAAATTGCATGACACTATAAAAGATAGAGCGCTCGGTATACTTAGATTCCAAAACGAGTGTGTCATTTGTGTTCTCCTCTATTCGTAACATCCTTAAGGAGATTGAATGCATATTTATCCTATGCATTAAATTATGTTAGCTGCCGATGTATCATACCAGTGTTTATATTCTGCCGGGTTAGTCTCATATTTTTTTCCTATTATGGAAATGTTTTAAAACTATTTTTGAAATGCATCATTTTTGAAATATCAATATTCTAGCGAATGTGTCGTCTTCTTGTTCAGCAATCGCAAGGTTTTTAAACAGCATACATTTACTTCCATAGAAAAGCACAATACAATACAACGCTAGCTGACGTTTCGGCAGTATCGCCTTCTTCAGAGCCGCTTTTTCGTGACTTCCAATGAGGAAGTTTAGAACAGCTGATTATAGTTGCATGTGGTTGACGACTGCACCATCCCACATCCTAGTCAGCTGTTCTAAATTTCCTCATTGGAAGTGACGTAAAAAGCGGCTCTGAAGAAGGCGATACTACCGAAACGTCAGCTAGCGTTGTATTGTATTGTGTTTTTCTATGGAAATAAATGTATGCTGTTTAGAAACCTTGCGATAGCTGAACAAGAAAACGACACGTTCATATCCCAATGCCGAGGTTAATAGAAAGTCGATCCTGGGAACTATTCAAGCGAATGTTTTTTACTGGGTGAGTAGATCGGTAATAATTCTCAGTAAGATAGGCTGTAAAGGGGCGGACAGCACAGTGGGTGTGATATCCGTTATCACGAGTATGGTGCTAGTTCGATTCCGCTCCGGACCAATTAAGCCTCTCATCCCTCCAGAGTCAGGAGATTGGTGCCCGACTTGTTTGGAAAAAAACCACTCTCTGGAATCCAAGTGGGAACACTCCTGCCTGGCTATCTCAGGTCTCCAAGGAGAATTGTTCGACTAGTATTCTACGACATTCAAGAATAAATGAAAATCCTCAAGCAGCAACCGAAGCCACATGTAGATCTTGGAAAATCTTCGTGGGCAATGGATGCGAGGAAGCGAATTGAATGTGACAAGTTCCGGGAACCGCACAGTAGACGTTGAGACGGGTCATATAAAATAAAGCAAGGAAATAAGATAGGTTGTAGTTCGGGTAATTTTGAGTGAAGAAGATTATGTTTCTGTATTTGTGGTAATTTTATGCGGATAACTCGTTGGCCTTAGATATGGAGGTTTATTAAAGTCTATATAAAATTGGTTAAAAAGCAATATAGCAACTCTTTATGAAACTGAGAAACGCCACGGGTTTCATCTTGATTGAATAGGAGAAATTTTCTATTTTAACAATAGCTTAGCATCTATGGGTCGTGAAGAACAGTGATAGGATAGACTAGGGTAGATATTTTGCTAAGAGCCAGTTGAAGCGAAGATGAGGAAATATGTAATGGATAGTTTTTTAAACAGCATAAAGGTCTCAACATAAAGAAATTAAATCACCGCTTTCAGATGTCGACCATGTAATTAACGTAGCTTCCACCCTCTTTGAATTACAATAGCAGCTTATTATTAGAGTAGGCAATTTTATAAATAGATTATAGAAGACGGTACCAGTTGATAACTGCTAGGTGCATTTTTGTTGTTGAGATCCAGTAACAAATAAGTAATAAAAGCGACTTTTAAGCTTGTCTCTTTAAAGTGGAGTATTTCTTCTTAGACTGAACTTCATTAATCGAAATATATGAAAGCGCATAGCACAGCAGTGGTGATACTGTTCATTGCGTGGAAAACCCAACGCTCGCCAGGCCCACCAACCTCCGTCGTACGTCCGTGGTAGAGGAATTGATACCAGATCTTTCTGGGCTCATCTAACTCGCTCTAATCTACATGAGAATACCTTAGCACGCCTGATCCAGTGCTCCAGGGAGAGTCGGCTCGTGCAACATATTTGGCGTCATTCGTAACGAAGACAAAAGATCAGAAAGGAGCTAAAGCCACACGCATGAAGAGCTCTAAGACCTTTATGAATGACGGATACGAGGAAACGAATCGAATGCAAGAAGTGCTGAATTCCGCACGGTGTGATATATGTGATTTCAGGTCATCTTTAAAAAGTCGAAACAAAAACCATGGGAATCAATACATTGTTGCCAACGTGAAACCATTTTATTTGTACCAGTTGCACAAAAGTTTAGACTTCTGAGGGCAATGATTTCGTTGATAGCAGTTTCGGCCTCAACTAGGTTTCTGGAGCATTTCTTGCGCAAAAAGTTGGCTAAATGCTTTATAAAGTATTTGTTGGAAGGGAAGAGGTTGGACGAGTATAGTAGAGAAGGTAAAGTTTCGTAGCCCAGTTTGCTCAACATTTTCAGAGTTGGTAGTGCGAAGTGTAGCCTATTTGGGCGGCCTTCATTTGTCGAGCCTTATTGGTTTTCAACTCTTTTTCCAGCGCTTTGAAACAGTTGAGACATTCGCATTAACTATTGTTGAAAATCATCGACGGTTCCGCATATAGTTGTTTTCAGCAAGCGTTCAAATTTGTCCTCATCAATAGCAGAAAGACGCGGCCAACAAGCCCTCTTCTACTTCAACATCGATTCGGCCAATACAAAATTTTCAAAATCCTCGCCGCGTTGTGCATTTGTCAGCACTTATTCCGCAACATCATATCCCGTCAGTGCTTCAAACCGTTTGCAGAACGTTAGCAGCTGTTATTGATAATCTTCTATAAAGAACACAAAGGATGGCGTCAGGTGATGAATAAACCCTTAAGTATGCTCAATACGTTTGATTCTATTCGTATCAGCCCAGAGATTATTGAATAGTATTTGGTCTGCCTAAATAATGAATTTTGGAGGCCTGTCGCTGTACCATTCCACTGCTTCCTTCGAACCAATAAGGTTCCGAGCCAATGTGAGCCCTGGAGGTGAGGATTTTAGATTGTCGGTGATTTGGGGTGGAACCAAAGACCATCTTCATCACAGGGGAACATCTAACCATGGTATTGCACTCGCCATATGAGGTGTAATAGGAGGTCTTTTTTTTTCGTTTATTACTTTTCCACTTTATTTTGTGAATGTTATAGGGTCTGTATGCAAATGATTGTATCCTTATTTTGAGGAACTTCATCGTACACGTCCTTCGCAATCCACTGTACACTTTCGTGGTCCAATGCCTGACATTGAAAGTCTCATGCAGGAATTTCATCCACATTTCGAACGCTGTCTTGAAGGAGTGAAGGTTTGTCTTAACCTCTCTAAATATCGATCTGTACGGAAAAGCTGACAATATTATGGTTATCTTCAAGCGTTGCTCTGATTCGCTTCCTTTGATACAAAAATTAGTAAAACTTTAAGAAAATACGATGAGAAAAAACAGAACATTATGCTGACATAAAAAGCGGCATTTGGAAACGATTTCGTTTCTCTATTTTCATCATTGCAAGACCTTTCGAGAACTATTCTAATATAAGGCTTAAGTAATAGCGTTTTATTGTTCAGATGCCGTCAGCTGAACTTGATGTTGACCTGGAGGAGTACACGGATATCTGCCTCAATCTCGTTGACGTTCCGGTCTCACGTAGTCGTATTCAGTCACTTCACTGCTTTTTTTCGTTGTACAGAGAGTTCAGAAACTCACAACATTTCAAGAACCTCACCCGCAACGCCACTGAAAAACGCAAAACGGTTGATCGAATGGAGCTGTGATGAAGCTTCGGGTAGATGTGAAATGCTGACAATACAAATAACCAATTTCAGTAGTTCACAATTAGCCGGAGTTTATATTCCAGTTGTTAGCAGTGCAATATCTTTATTTTCTTTGTATTTGGACAAATTAGGAACTCTTGGAATAGACGTTGATTGCCTTTTGTTTTTCATTTTTTTCCCCACAAAAATGAAAGTAATCCTTTCTTATGACGGCATGAGATCCACTTCCTGTTCTCATTTAATAATCGATGGAAATCAAACTAAAATACCTGGCATGATTAAAGTGAACTGTACAAATTTATTGCAAAGAAGATTTATTCACTGCATAAACAAATTAGCAAAATAACTGTGAAGTATCCCTGTAAGATATATACATAACTGGGAACACAACCGTTTAAATTCAATGATATTCAAGGGCAAGCGGCTCGCGTTAATTGGGACAAGCCGTGTTGGAAGCGATTAAGAAAGCAATGAATTCATTCGAATGAATGTGCTATAGACAGCCGGAGGTTTCGCCAAAAGCCAATTGAAAGATTAAGTGTTTGTCAACTGGGTAAAATTGATTCGATACAGAATAACATACCACGGACCACGGAAGACCACGGAAGAAAAAAATCGCAGCTAAGACTCGCGGGTACCCTAGATCTTCCCAGATAAGTGTAGTTGCAATTTCCTGAATCCTAAAAGACAAAACGTTGGGTGGGCGTGGGTGTGAGATGGAACCGATAACCACGTGTCTATTGCGGGGTATCTCTGACCATTCCACTACACGCCTCATCGACGAATTCTTAACAAGTTACGCACGACGTCACGTAGTACTGCTTTAGATGAAATGTAGAGGCACAACACCTACCAATATTGACCCAGTAGGTGAATTAAGAGACTGTTGGACCCAGTGGATGGGAACACGGTGTGCGTTATGCTAAACAGTTATTCATCCATGTGTGGGTGCATATATTAGTGAATATTAGCCATGGAAAACTTGTGGATAAGTAACTGGTAACTGCGCCTCCATGTGCGTCGTCGTTCATACGCCAGCATCAAGAGAATGATCAATCACTGGAGTTCATAATGAAAGACCGACGAAATTCTTACTTGCGCTCAGTGTTGTACAATCCACACATGTACTACTTTTGAAATACACTTATTAACACGGTCTAGCTCTCGGTTTCCCCCTGAAATGCCCTCAACCGCCACGACCTCCAATGTCGATGGATCCTGGATTCGCAACTTCTTCTGGACACCTTATCGAACTGTCTATTCGTCATCCGGCAAATCGCCGATGACCCGACATTCGACCGAATTCGTTTCCGACAGCAAAAAGTTACGAATTTAATAGCATCTGTTTTGCAAGCGAAACTCTGTGGAGGCTAGTGACTTTTGTATATCATTTAACAAAACCCACTGTGACCCAAGTTACATTTGCTAAAACATGTTGGGATTCTTTGAGAGCGTGTAATAATTGTGAACAACATAACGTTGCTGAGATATTTGCAAAACTCTGGACCGCAGGTGTCTATGTTGGGCGCCCCAGATCAATCCCGCTGGCAGGTGATTGCTGTGGCGAAGATCGATAGAAATAGCTGAGACACAGGCGAAACAAAGGACCTGCATGGTGTGGTGGTGAACGCGTTACTCCCCTGGAAGGACAATAGCGCCTTCGTTCCCCACCATAGACACCTGTGGTCCAGAGTTTTGCAAATATCTCATCAACGTTGTGGTTGTATTTCGCTTAGTACCTTGCCGCGAAATCATAGTAGGCAGAAAATAAAAAGGTATAACATTGTGAACAACATAGTTTTTGATAATGCGTTAATGGTTGTAGCAAGAGATTTCTGGTGATGAAGAGTGTCCTTAAGTTTAAGGCATAAATTTCAAATTTCGCAGCTGCAAGATAACAAAATATTAGTAAATCTCACAAGCACATCTAAGAGAAGTCGGTTTACTGCGGCATCAATACATTTATGTCCGAGGATGACACCACCATAGGAAGTCGCCGTCCTTGTGGATCGGAGGGAGATTTACCTTCGTAGTTACTTACTCTTAGCTGGGCTTCCAGATGGAGACGCCGGACTCCATCTCAGCTTGGGAGACCTTGCTGAAGTGACGGATCCCCTCCTGTACATCGCAGTCCGACATCCAGGAAAACCTCCCAGCA